TCTCTATCAGGCGAGTTTGGGGCGCGCAGATCCGCGGGAGAATCGGAGGGAGTCGGTGCAGCATCCTCCGTTAGGCGCCGTCTGTTCTCCCGAGCGCGGCGTCCGCATTTCTGCGGAAGTCGATGGGCCGCGGCGAGCGCGCGCTTGCGAGCAGCGGGTTGGTGGCACTTGCGGTGACCTTTGCGGAAACTGGGTCCCGCTGCGGGCAGCGGTCGCGCCTTTTCCTGCACGCTGTTCCTTCGGTACTTTGCCAACGACACGTGTCTTTTAAGTTCCGCTCAATATTGTGCCTTAAACCGTGAAATTAGACACGGTTGACACGAATTTCGCAGACTGGATGTTCTCTCTGTTTTGAAATTCATGTGCTGTGAATTTTGAAATGTACGTGGTTCGAATTAATTAATTAATTAATTAATTGAAACTATTTATTTCCCGGCAGTGGCTCTGGTCACTGGTCACAAATTACAGTTGGATTACTTTCGCTCCTTTCTCCCACCCCGAGGCAAAATTAGAGCAGGGGACGGGCTTGTTCCTAATTCCTTTTGGTTCTGCCGGAAGGGGTCCTCCCTGCTTAACCTGGAGAACGTGTGGAAACGCCTCTGTCGGGAAGAGAAGAGTAGGGCGACTGTGAGCCACCCGGAAGCCTTCGGGGGGGGCTCCAGAGGGGTAAAGAAAGGTTCTTGGGGCGCCTTCAGAGGCCCCCCGAGATGCTCCCGCCTCACCTTGGGAAGTTACCGCCACTTCAACTGAGGCCAATGGGGTGCTGTTATGGTGCCCGGGGGCTTTTCTTCCTTTTTCCCCGAAGGGAAAGACCCTTTTGTAAAAGGTCGCGTTCCTGAGATATCGCCACAGGAAGGCCTTGGTGACGCTCGAAATCGCGCTGTGGCTGTGCCTGTCCGGTGCCGCATTCGGCCGCGGGAAAGGCCCGGGGGACGGGTCGGCAGGGCGAGGGTTGAGGACCCAGAGGGGAGCGTGAGGCGCGCGGCAGCTGTCCTCTGGGCCCAGAGG